CAAGACTACCCAAGGCTACAAGAAAATGAATCAGTCTAAAAGAAAAACAGAAGTCACGCCTTTAAGACCAGGACTAGAGAAGTAATAAGATAGAAGAGGGTCTGGATTCTGGCATTCAATTCCCAGCCACAGGCAACTAGTCTCCAGCCATGTTGAGGTCAGGATCTCCAGAGCTTTGTTAGGGGTCAGAGCTCTCTGGTGGCTTAGCTGGTTTGCTTTTCTGATCTTCGGCTTGAATCCCACTATCTGTCTTTGGATTTTAATATCCATGTTACATATGTTGCCTTGGTCATGGCATCTATCAAAACAATAGAAAGTAACTAAAGAATCCATTATTGAGAAGGTATTCCTGAAGAGACTAAACATGAACTGTGTAAATTAACTCATATTATGAACAATTTCTTAATGTTCATTCATTTTATTTGAGTTATGTACTGTTGCAAAGAAAAATAGGACAATTCAGCTAATAAACAGAAACAGCACTAGTGAGGAGACATTCTCTATGCTAAGGTTATCCCTGCTACTCAAGGTCATAATAGACATGCATCTCTGAACTTAAAGCCACAGGCAACTGAAAGAGTCTTTTCATAATTTTCTATAAATAAGAATACAATAATTTAAATGTTTGTGTTGGTTTGAAAGAAAATGTCCCCCATATGGAGTGGCACTATTAGGAGGTGTGGGTTTGTTGGAGTAGGAGTGGCCTTATGAGAGGAAGTGTGTCACTGTGGGGTGGGCTTTAAGGCTCACTATGTTCAAGCTATACCCATTGTTTAAACAGACAGCTTCTGGTGCCTGAAGATCAAGATGTGGGACTCTCAACTCCTCCAGCACCATGTCTGCCTGCATGCCATCTGCAATGAAGATAATGGACTAAACCTCTGAACTGTAAGCCAACTGCAATTCAATGTTTTCCTTTATAATAATTGTTGTGGTCATGATGTTTCTTCACAGCAATAGAAACCCTAACTAAGACAGTGATAGAGGATTGAGAGAATACACATATGAAAGACAATATCCAACAGCCAAACAGAGTCTTGGGAAACCTTGCTCTTCCATGTCCCAGGAAAGATGAATCATTATGAACCACCATGTCTCCAATGATCCATACATTCAAGAAACTCAGTTCAGATGAAAAGGTGAGTTGAAAGAAATATAGAAGATAAGGAAGGTTACTCTTATAAAACCCTAGTCAGCTGTTTTATTTTTACAAAGTAAAATTATCGCCAGTAAGCCTCAGAGACACTTGAGACCTTTGAGTTAAATACGAGATGTCACATAGAACAAAAATGCCTTGCTATGTACATTACATTTTCAGAGTTTTGTACTTGTCCTTTAGTTATGAACTAAATTCTTAAATTTGAATAGATTATCATATTGCCACTAAACATCAAAAATTACTTAAGTAGAAATATAGACAAAAACTTGAATGTGGATTTTATAAAATTAATAATAATCATTTATTGAAGCAGTTAAAAATTAGGTCCAGGTAATTTTTGAAACATATTTCTAATCTGGAGTTTTTTATGTTTTAGTTTCTTGGTATAATCTTGACTTTGTTATACGGTGGACTGAAATTATAATGACCATATGAATTCCTTTCCCTGTGCTCTTAATAAACTCCTTCCAATGAACAGCACTTGGAGGTCTCTCATATTTTGTCTTTATTGTCATTCTTAATCACATATTTCAGTGAAATCAATACTATATAGGGTCAATGATGGTATTGAACCACATGTTACTGATTTCTTCATTGGTTAGCAAATTTTTTGCTCAATTATTACATGGTAAAGAGAGTATTTTAATTGAACTTATGGGTCATAAAAGTTTAAAGTATGTAATATATGACCCATTTGAATTAATGACCCAGTTTCCTCTTAATCATCTCAATATATATGGAAGAATGAGATATGATATTCACATTGTGCTCCAGCTCTTGGACAAAGTAATGGTACTCCCCAAATTCTTCTACCTATGAAACTTGTATAATTAATATCTCAGCTAAGCAGAGCTTCAAAGACGAAAAACAAGCATGCAACCAGTATGTCTACAGAGCACACATCCCATTGTTGAGTGGAGAATTTAGGTTTTTGTTATGCAAGTATACCTTGTATATGCCATGCTGTATCTAGCTAGTAATTTTTAAATATCTTGACTTCTTCTATAATCATAGGTGAATTTTAACTGCAAATTCTATCCAACTTCTGAAGTGATCCTCAAAGGAATAAAAATTCCCTATGCTATAAAATTGTATTTGGGTAGAAAGAAAGGCCAGAAATATAACAAGATGAAAGGCGTCATAAAAATGAATAATAAAAGTAGTCAAAAATATTCGAAGTTCTTCCTTTAGTAACACTCATGTTCAGCTTTCCTTTGTTTTCATTATTTCCCTTGATTTTTACTGAGGAAATTATTACTATGGATATTTTGTTCCTCATCTTTAAATATGTACTACAACAAATGTTTAAATATATACATTAAATTAAAATGTAAAAAAAGAAATATTAATTTAAGGCTACTCAATTATAATTATATATACAATAAAGTTTTGAAATACAATTCAAAGTAAGGCAAAGTTGAACTTTCAAAAGGTTACCTATAAAATAATATTAACTTTATAAGAAAGAATGTAAGAATCAATTCCAATATCTATTATCCTGAATAATTGATTATACTGAAGGATTATGTTTTCTAAATTATGTCAGTTATCTTTTTATGAACCAAGCATGGAAGAGTTTGCTTAAGACAAATCGTTTTTATGAGAATAGTCTCAGATGCCCTTATGTGTTTCTGTTTCTCTAACCTGAGCACAAGCTTATGATTTCAGATAGAAAGCTCAAACAGAACATTAGTGTTAGACTTAAAATACACTAAATACACATTTCAAAAAATGCCTTATAACCATGTACTTCCATCCAAAAGTGAGTTTAACTATCAACCCATTTTTGTGCTAATAAAAAATGTGAAGGAATGATTTACTCCAATGGAAAGACACTATGAAGACCACAGTTTTCAGGGTGGTGTACACAAGCTTGCACATGATGCACTTTGAATGCAGAAAGGAAGGCACTCTGTCAGCTCTCATTTTGTCATTATCAGGGAGCAACAGGTACTTGAAGGTAAAATTTAATCACAGTTCATTTTATCTCCCTGCCTGCTTTTAGTGATCCTCATAAAATTAAATTTTTTTCTTACCATAGCTTCCTTTAAAAAAAGACTTCAGTTTTAAAAAATTTAAATCAGTTACATTTTATTGGATGCATATGTGAAAATGGATATTTTGGAATATATCAGAAAACATCTGACTAACATCTAAATTTTTTGTAGTCTTTTCCAATGAGAGCAAATAAAAACCCCTGAGAGTGATGTAGTGGACACACTCTATTTCCATTGAATCCTAGCATATTTACTTTTATTGTAAGCAACTCAGCTTGTCACAATTCAAAAGCTCAACACTGTCTAAAATTCAACTGCTTTCTCTTAATATTAAAGTAATTCAACTAAAACCAGAGAACTCTGGGACATTGAGGATTTAAAGTGTTTTAGAAGTGCCTAAAATTTATCTTAAAAGATAGTAGTTATTCAATAAACATATGTCAATATTGGAAGATCTGTTCAAACACTGACAAAACATACAATATTTCTTTTCTCAAGTGAAGGCATGATAAATGGCGATACCTCCTCATATACAACATCTGCTTGCTTACTTCTGATTGTACTTAATATTAGTGTTAGTTTAAACCAGGTAGCCAAGAGCTCAGCCTTTACAAGAGCAAAGAACATTCATTTACTAAAATAATGATGTTCACAATTCATTCATAAAGCAAAACCGAGTCCCACAGGAAGAATGAGCCCAGTCATTTTCCAAGCATACATTCATATTGAGTGTTATCTGGATTTACATTTGAACTATAATCTCATTTCTTCGGTCTCTCTGTGACATTTCCCTGAGAAATTTCTGAGAATTAGTCCAAGCCTCCATTTGTTTTTCCTAACCGTGAGAATCTGAGCTAATACAAGAAGTTAACTCACAAACCGGGAAAGCACTGACGACTGACTCAGAGAGACATTCTCACAAATGCCATTAAACGGCCAGAGAAGGAATATGAATCAGTCTGCCAACTCTCAAACCCCAGGGTTTTACAGTGTGGATTAAGGATGGGACTCAGAGGTCAGAACGACCTCCTCAGGGCATCAACCAAGTTCAAGGCAATGGACACAGTGGCAAGTATTCTCACAGGGCTCCATTCATACCAGGTGGGGGTGACCAGCATGCCCTGTCCCTTGGCTCCAGGCAAACAAATGTGGAAGCCTCTACAGCTAGTTCCTTTCAAATAGCTCTTTAGACGTCTCCCAAGGGATTCTAATAGTTTAAAGCTTTCATTACAGCTCCCATTCCTCCCTATAACATCAAGTGTTAAAAAAAAAAAAAAAAAAAAAAAAAAAGTGTTCCAGGGTAAGTGAATGTAGAAACAGAATCTGATGAACAATTTTACGTAATCAGAAGCACTGCAACTTCTGTAGACTGATACTGCCAAACAACCTCCCACCCTCAGAGAGCAGGCATTTATAAATGTTACATCTTTCTACCTACTCCCTCCAATTCCTTAATGGACCATTAGTAACGAGATCGATCCTAGTTACTTTATAGCCAGGCAAGGCAGAGGCACCTCTGTTATGTTTACTAGAGCCAGAAACACCATTTAAAAGTTGAGGAGGTCCAAGCAGCTACTTTCCAAACCTTTTGGGGGGCAAAGATTGGGGTGTCCTGAGGTAGGAAGGAAGAAGAGAGAGAGCATGTGTGACCTAACTCAGATGTACATGGAACAAGCGAATTCCTACTTAAGCTGTGTGGTAGAGTGGGGACTGCTAAATTCTCCACTCAAGCTTTCTCACCCCACCTCCGTAGTTCCTTAGAAAACCAAGCCCCTTCCCCACCTCTGGCAACCACAGCAAAATGCCAGCCCCGAAGCTGAATGCGCGTGGCTGGATGGGTGCGCATCACTTACGTCTCGGAATTTGTTCCACTGTCCGACTTCCTTGTCATACTGAGAGATTGTGGTGAGCCATTGTTTTTCATCCAGAAAATTACCGCTGTCCGACCGCCCCCCGGCCGCAGCCACAGCCGCGGCAGCTGCAAGAGTCTGGCTGCACCAAGCCGCTGCACAGACACACAATAAGGCTGACACCTTGAGCATCTGGGAAGGAGACACAACCAGGGGTAGGGAGTGGTGTCAGATATGGGTGCGAAGATGGGGGCGCCCCTGGAAGGCATGCATCAGCGAGGACGGGTTGGAGAGAAGGGGAGACGAGCAGGGACAGGGGTGTCCCCTTCCAGGAGGCTTCACCCCCAAATCAGGGCACTCACACACACAGGCAGACCCAAGGGAGAAGAAGAAGGGGGTCTAAGGGAGGAAGCCCCAAGCAGCGAGAGTCCCAGCGGTCAGATAAAACGCTTGCCGGCCGATCACCTTGTTGGGAGCGGGCACGGAGCTCACAGCTCTTGATGTAAACGCAGCCTGGCTCTGACAACTCGCTTCTCTCTGGAGCTGCTGCACGCGCCGCC